TATTTATATGTATTTTATATATATTTATATATATTTTTATTTTTATATGTTTATATGTTTATCTGTACATCAATCAGTATTATAATTATCAATCATGCATTAAAGATCGATCGGTTGATTGCTTTTTTATGCAACTTGGTGACTTTCCTCGTCTTGTTCGTATTTGGTCACGCGAGACATCCTCAGCAAACGATTTCACTACTTCTCAAGATCGATCCTGAATAGTGATAGCTTCGATATTCTCGTCAAGGAGATACTGATACTCGAAGCAAGTTGTTGTTTTCCCGGCTCAAGTGCCATGTAGTGTTAGATATCCGTTCGCTTGAACACGAGATATCGAACAGGGAAGTTCTTAAAGTTCTGTTACCCAATCGTAGGTTCTACCATCGGCATGCTATCTATTCCGCTAGTGTACAACAGGAAGTCATACGTCGTTGTTTGATATAATAATATTTATTATCAAAAAATTATTAAAAAATTGAAAAAAACGTTAGTAATTCATTATTTAAAGCTTGCAATATATTAGATCATGGAAGATATTATAAATTTTGAAAATGTAATGTTGTTTATATTTATTGTATTTATATGTATTTGTTTATATCTATATTACATAAAAAAATGTAGCAGACGTAGTTCTAATGATTTAAATTTGTTGCAATTTAAGAATCGGTTGTATAATAAAAATTACGAGAAGCTTAACATTTACGAGGAACTTTATATTTACGGATCGGCTAAAATGATGTCGCCTATGGAGTTTACGCTAGATTGCTAGGGATTACAGTAGACGATGGCACCATTTAACAGCACGACCATTTCCATTTTAGAGTGTCGGCCAACAATGACGGCCACAATAACGATACCGCAAACCACCACGGTCATCGCGATTATCGTGCATTTTCGTGGCACCATTGACGACCCGATTGGACTATCCATTTCAGCGTTCCCTTGATAATATTCTATTTGTCTTAAAAATTTGTTCTTCAAAATTTTACTTATTTTATTCATGTCTCGACAAAGGTAAATTGTGAGATCGTAATTTTTTAACAATGCGATGTGTCGGATTGTAATAACTAAAATATAAAATAAATAGTATGAATTAACGATAATACATACACGTGGATTTGACGATGAAAAAATTGCGACAATTCAATACCAATAGCCGGCGATGATTGGCTAATATGCAAACTCGTCGAGCCGTAATTAATCGCACTTAATCGCCGATAAACCTTATTGTCGCCGACGGAACCAGCTTTGGCGCACTCGCCCATAAAACGAGTTTCACGAGCGACAATTTGATACGATTAATCAAAATATCCGTACGATGTTTACAATACTAAGAACTTCTTTATTATTTATATTTTATTATATTAAAAGTAATTTTATATCTAAAAATTATTGCAAAACTGAATTTTTTTATATAGAATAATATCGATGAGTAATATACACAGACTTCTGCACCTCTTTCTATTCTAGAAAAATTGTGCTCCTGTAAACTGAGACTTCTCCTCTTACTTAATACGTAATTTTGTGATTATACAACTGTTTATAATAAGAAAGCATCTGAGAAGCGACACGTAACAATATTTTATATTAATAAGAATAAAAGTGTGAATAAAAGAGATAATCTAAATCTAATAAAGGAACTCGATCTCAACAATTTTAGAATAGAATGATTCTACAATAATTTAAAAAAGCGACTGCTAATAGGAAAATTTATTGATGCGAAATTATATGAGATTTCTACTACACTTATATATAAGTGAGCGAAAGAGATAAGGGATAGAGGGAAAGATAGAAGGTAGAGAAGATAAGATAGGAAAAGAAAGAGTTAAGGAGTTCAACAATGTACATTTAAGAGCGTTCACATAACTCGCTTTTAGTCGACGCGCGCGTTTAAGAGGGATGCGTATGTTCAGTATGTGAGCGCGAGTGAGCCTGTGATTAGGGGCCCAGTTGGGCCCCCGAGGCCTCACAACCGCCCACTACGCGTGCAGAGGAAAGGGAGACAGACCTCAAACTCCCTTGCTCGCGTCTGCAAGAACGCGTGGGAACATATCGGCTCGTCTATCATTCCGTCCTTTCTTCCAAACGCCATATTGTTCGAAAAGAAATAAAAGGAGAAGAGAGTTACATATAACCCTTCGCGTGTGCTGTAAGTGTACTTTTTCTATTATTTTTAAACAAGGAAGATATTTATATTGTTGTTATTATCGTTGTCATTGTCATTTATTTGTTGTTATTATTCATTATTGTTTATATATGCACTTTTGTCACTTAATAAGAATTGAATTTTGGTTACATATAATAAAATATAATTTAAAATGTACTTTCTTATCGGTTTTTTTTTTTGCTTTATATTAAAGATTTCTTTCGATTTTGATTATTATACATATATAATATATTTTTATAATATATTTTTAATTAAAAGTTTAAGGAAACGGAATAAGCAAAAAATGTTCTCACGCTTGACGATATGTCTGGCTGTTTTCGCAGATCTCGGAGGTTCCATCCAGTACCTTCTCGTGACCTATGATCTCGCATACAAAACGATCAGCATTTTGGCGGTGGGGTGATGCTAAGTAATAGCAACGTAACATCGGCACGTGATTATCATTGTATACATGAAAGTATATGCTTGTGTGCACATATTGTGTACATGTGTATGTATATATGCAACGCACAGCCGACACTTTCGAGCATGCCTCACGTGTACATTCTTTTTGCTCCATCATAATACACGCGTGATGCTCGTATTGCACCCCGTTAGTTCTGCGGTTAGCTCTCACATTGTGGGTGTTCATAATGCACCGGCACCGCAGGCCGTTTGCCGTTATCGCGAGAGATTTTGATGATAGGCCATCGCGACATCTGGAGTGCTCTTGGCAAATTTAGAGATTGCTCAGATTTCGTGGCTCTCCGAATCAACATGTTGATATATATAGGATGTCCTAAATAAAATATCTTATTTAAATCACAACTTTAAATTTTTATTATCAATTATTTTTATAAGTAAATTTTTTGCATAAATAAGATTACAGAAAAATCAGGACAATGTATATTGTGACGAAACGACGGCTGCAAAATTAAAGAAAAAAAGAGCAATTTATTTAAAGTAGTCTTGATAATTGTTGTTTTTCACGTTTTTCTGTATAGCAAAATGTCATTGGAATGTAATCTTTTTGACAGAATTTTAATGTTAATGTAAATATTTCCAGAAATTATGAATTAAAATGTTAATTTACTGATGAAATTGTCGGTCAAATCAAAAATTTAGGATAAGTGCTTTCGAAAGCGTTTCTGCAATAAGGAGAAGGACCAACGACACCCGGTAGATCCCTTCCGTAACCGCAGTATTCAGTGTTCTGCCGGAACTGAGATTCAGCAGAGAGAGAAAAGCTTAATTAAAATTCCAGCTACGTCGAGTCTACCCACGGAAAGTGTAAGAGATGTGTCTTATCCTATCCCCGTCTCGTCTTGTTCATGTGACATTTCAAGAAATCACGGGAATAAATAAGCCAAACCATACTCGAAGTATCTCAAAGTTCGTACTGTTCCCGACACAGTCGTCACCTTTCACGATCAGTCTTCACTTTTTCTTCAATGTTATGTTCTTTCCACTTGTCTCGCATTTGCATTAACTACAAGCAATTTAATGCATGCAAAAAGATCTCTCCATCTCGAAGATAAGCTTGACTGTTATATTTGGAATCTGAATGAGTTGCGAGAAAACTGTTATTGTGTAACAATAAATTATATATTTTATCATTACTTTTTAAAATTTTATTTATTCAATGCAAAAAATTTAACGTAGTTTGCATTTTAATTAATTGTACATTTTATTGCCATTTTTATCGCAGCGTAGATATATATGCGGTCTTTATAATTGTTAAAGGGATTATAAATATCTCTTTTTTCAAATTTTATTCTAAACATATTATTATATTGTTTTTAAAATTTTATTATATTGTTGTTTCTTATTATAAAATAATTTATGTCGAATGAAACTGAAAGGATTGAACTTAAAGACGTATCTGTAAGATGACACGCAAGATAGAGGATCTTGCTTTCTTTTAGACCGACAATTGGCTTCGCTGCAACAGGTGCTACCACGATCGCCAGCACCTTTAAAACCCTAAATCCTTGCCCAAGTCTGTCGAAACTTGGTACGTAACCATAGAATCCGCTTAAATATCGTTTTTTTCTTACAAATCAATCACATTAGCTCATTTAAGCCAAGACATTTAAGTGTATAAATCTCTTAAAGCGCGTTAAAATATCAAATCTAAAATAATAATACAAAAACTATATTAAAATTGTATCTTAAAAATAAATATATAGGAAGAAAAATTATTAAAATATAAAAATTATAAAATATAAAAATATTAAAATATAAAAATAAAAAAATGTTTGTTTTGTAATAAAGAAGTTAATTTAGTATTACTTTTAATTCACGAAAGCTTTAATTTTTTATATAGTTTTAATTCGGAAATTATTAAAGTTACAATATTTTTAGAAAAAAAGCAATTTTAAGTTCATCAAGAGAGCAAGAAATAAATACTCTAAAGATATCAAATAACTAATAATAAGTCGCCTGAAGTCATTATTATTAGGAGGAAATGTTCTTTAATTGATATATTATCGAAGACCTCTTAAATCATGCTTGTTTCGAAAGCTAAGAAAGGCTGAGGTTTCCAGTCTCTCTCTATATCTTATTCTGTCTTCCTTTCAGTATGTGTCTCTTTCTCTCTCTTTTTCTTGACAAGGGAACTTCAGGTTTGAAAAAGGGAAGAAGAGAGGAAGGGCAGAGGGGTTAGAGAGAGGGATGGACCTCACCACTCTGACTCTCTAATTATATAGTACATCGTGTACCAAGCGAACGAGGTCGGAAGGTCACGGTTGCGAAAGGCACAAAACACGCCATCAAGATATATCGAAAAATTCAGTCGAGATGCTCAAGACGCGCGGCGGATAACCACGAAATTTATCGAGCAGCCGATAATAATTATTCTCTTGCCGCCGATCGGCTCTTTCTCTCGATACATTCAGGCCAACTCATTACAGAGTTTTTTCAGCAAAAAGACTTTTTTATTAACCTTGTAATGAGATGTAGCAACAACGGATAAATAAGAACGCAAAATAAGCATAGAAAAAATGAAACAAGAAAGAATACGATGATTTGAATAGAAATTTTCACCGATCGATCGATAATAAAGTAAAGTTAAATAAAATAAAGTTACAATATATATATATATAAGTAAGGATTTAATGTAAGTTAATGACACGTTAAATAACGTGTTAATTTCGATAAAAAAATATGTATTTTGATATAAATCACTATGTCGAACAGTAAGATAAAAATTTAATATTTTGTAGACAATTATCTCCTTCTCTATCGAAGAAGAACCGGCGAAACGAGGGCCGTGCGGCTTTAAGCAACAACGTGGTACGATAACGATACGTATAGTTTAACGCAGGCAATGGGTACCGACTTGTGAGGCTCATATATGCGCATCCTGGTACAAGGATAGTCGAGCGGCCAACTGGAGAGAGAGAGAGAGAGAGAGAGAGAGAGAGAGAGAGAGAGAGAGAGAGAG